ATTGGCCGGCGGATGCGTCTGAAATGAATTTACTCATCGTCCCAGCGACAAATGATCTGATGCTGGGGGAGGAAGGGTGATGTAAGAGGGATGCTGACAGTGGGACCGAGAGTATTGTCCTCGTCACACCTGACTGCACATGCGGTTGGACAATTCCAAATGCCCTACAGGGAAACCCGGCAGAGTGACGGTCCGTTGGCCGGTGAGCTCGAAAAGAAGACCCGTCGAGACGGGCGATGAGAGATCGTGCTGGCCGTCGCCATCGGCCGACAGGTCAGTCGAGCCTCCAGGCTCCATGAGGTATGGCAGCGGCTTTAGGCCAATGGTACTGCAAACGGAATGGTTGGCACATGCGGTTGTCGATGTGGTTGGACTGCTGCTGACGATGGGCAGAATGCTTCTGGTGAGGCAGCCGGAGCTGGTGGGCAAGCCGACGTGACGCGTTGTCGTCGGCTGGTTGAAATAGTGCAGACCGCTCGGCTGATGTCTTCTGCCTTGGCCGCCGTCGTCTGACGGGCTCGAGACCGGCGTGGCCCAGTCTCTGAGGTCGCCCATCATGACGACCATGTCGGTGGATGCGGTGGGACCGGGACTGGTGAAGGCATGTGCAGCCGACGCCGCCTCCTCCGCCTTCATCAGCTGCGAAGGACGTGAATGCAAGGAGTTGAGCGGCCGAAGGCAATTGACGTCGGCTTCCGGTTCCGTCTTGACGCTGCCGGCCGAAGCAGACGTGGCTCCCGGAGCCGTCATTTCTTCTGCCGAATAGGCCGGAACCAGCGAGGCTGCATCGGCCGTGTAGATTGGCGATTGGCGGTTGTGGCGGCCGGCCAAAAAGGACGTCTCCCCGAAGCCATGACCAGTTCCGGGCCCAAGCATCGTCACGGGGACCAGGTTCATTGTCGCCTTTAGAGATTCTCCGCTGGAATTACAGGCACCTGACTGTCGGGCGGGTGTTTCGGAAAGGATGCCCAGTAAGCATGTTATGCATGAACATGAAGAAAGGTTTAAAGCTAAATCTAGAATATGAACTCAAGTCATCCCGGATGAGAATGGCTTTCGGGAAACAAAGCTGTCTGTAGTGGGTTGTTGTTGTCAGGGCGACTTAGTAGAAAGAACCTAGTCAGAAGTCGTCTGTCATAGTAGTGGTCATGATTCCCAGCGTCAGGCAGTGGACTTGGTACATTCTCAAATGTTCCGCCGACATCGTAGTCGGCATCATCGGTGAATTTTGCCATTCTCCACAACAAGCTACGAACTCGTCAAAGAGGCATTGGAAGTCCATCCCTCGACAAACGTTCTGCCGAAAACGGATACATTATGATTCCTTTTTCTGTCTTGGTCT